AAAAATATCAATCAACTCGATAACGCAGATTGTGTGCAGGGCTGCCGGTAGGGAGGGCAGATTGCGGCCAGGCAGCCAAACGCCGAATCGCCCGGGTACCAGGCAAACAAACAAACAAACAAGTCCCGAACCCGAATTCAAACCAGGCGAATTGAGGCGTTGCGCTTCGTCTCTAGTCCAGAGAGCACCAAAGCGGCAAAGGCAAAGAAAGAACTTAGTAAACAACAGCAGCAGGCGAAAGCAGAGGCAACAAAAGTTGCCGTGGCACCAGCAGTGGCAACAGCAGCAGCAGCAGAAGTCGATGCAGCTCACTTCAATCCGTATTTATCCTTTGCCTCCAAAAGCCGCTCACTTGCGTCCATTGGCGCACGCTGCGGCTATGGCTGTGGCTCAAGCTTTGCCTGCTGCATGAGGATGCGGCTGAGAGCGCTTGGCCCCAACTAAGCCCAACTGCTAAGCTCGCCAGCTCGAAACTTTGTGGCTGCCTGCCTTCAGGCAGAGTGAGCCCTAAGAAGTTTAAATGTATTACAGTCGCATTGTGAGCTCTGTATATGTATTAGGTATTTGTGTATGGTGTGTGTCGGTGTCTGTGTGTGTGGATATGCGTGTGTGGGTGCGCATTATACCCATAATGCAGCAAATAGTCTCGGATATGCAGCAACAAACAATAACACCAACTATGGCAAAAAGCAAAGCCAGAGGCAGCCAGCAATAGAAACTGGTAAACAAGTTTTCATCTTTGCTTTTTACGGCATGGCACGGCACAGCGCAAATGAGCGTGACCAGCTCTGCTTACAACAACAACATGAACAATAAAGCGTTGTTAGTGGCAGTCAAAGCGCCCGCTCAAAGGCAGCCGACAGCGCTAGCAATGACGAGTGCAACTAGCGTAACCAACAAGCACAGGACAACAGAGCATCGACAAGTGCGACGTCGGTGGCGGCGACAACTGCAACTGGAAACATTTCTCTTTCAATTGCCACGCGCAGCTCGTTTTTTTTTGAGTCGCGGTAACAACCAACTTTCAACCTTAATTTAAGTCTCAGTCCCCAACCTCAGTCGACTTTGAGACCCACCTAACGCTTAATGCCAAAGGCTGCAGCAATAACATGCCAGGCTCTAAAGAACGCCATGCCAACGTCATTTACAATTATGGTAAGAGTCAATGCAATGCTACGGAAACAGCTTTGAGTGCTGCATTTTTAAACACAATCTGTCAATTCATTGGCAGAGCTTAGCACAGTTTAACTACTAGGTAACATTTAAATTTAAAGAAAGCGTAAAAATCCTTGCTTTCATTTACTTTTTTTCATAACATGCCTGGAACTGGCATTACACTGATCATCAACTCACTGAATGCATTTTCAAGCGATTCACAAATTACATTTTAATTACAGTTTAAAGCTACCAGAAAACATACATTTTGTATTTTTGTATTATTTATATCATTTGTTGTAGAGTTGAGTGCAGTATGCAGGCCAGGCCTATCTCCTTCAGCAATATGGTAAAAGTAACTGACTTCTAGCAGCTGAAACTAGAATCTAGAGCTAGAAGTAAGTAACTAACAAAGAGCCGATAAAGACAAAATTATAATAGAAAAAAATAAAGACTTTAAAAATGGTACTTACATATAGCAGATAGTCTTGCCAATTTGCCATTTAACTATAAATTCAAAACTCGTTATAATGTGACAAATAATATATGAACCCAACAAAAGCTATAGACTTGAAATTTTAAATATATATTTCTGAATATGCAATATGAGTTTAATGATTAAATAGATTTTGCTTGTTTCGTATTGGCTACTTCCCTTCATTAATTTCAAATTCTTGAAAAGATTAACATTAAGAAAGTCCAGCCAAAAGAAGTTACTCAACAAATAAAAGTAGGTAAATAATTTATATTAGCTCTGTTTTATATGATTGGAATAGCAAATCTGGGCATGGTTCAGGGTATCAGCTGGTCGGGCACTGCCGGCGAGAGCACATTCATTTAATTTCCAATTATTTGTATATAATAAAAATATATCATTAACCATATATCAATATGTTAATAGGTTTTATAATAAAAATGTAAAAAATACTTCATTTGTTTATGCTTTATGCAAGAAATTTCATCGGTTCAATTTTTAAATGAAATATGTAAATTTTTACAACCAAATCAAATTCTGCAGTTTGATTGAAAAGTTAATTTGATCAGAATATATAGCATATATATATATGCATAAATTGATATATGAAAATCATATAAAAGTTTGTTTCAATACTATTTGCCTGTAATATAATCTGGTGAAAATTAACTTTGCAATCAAACGGCATAATTAGATTACACATTCATAATCAGTTTACTTGTTTCAGGCGATAGACAGCTACCGAATGAATTCTCATGGTGTTGATTATGTAAATTAATCGAATTACGCACAAGCTTCATCTTTCTGTTGTGGCTGCAGCTGTAATTCGAAAAGAATTATACGATTCGATATCAATATAGAATGCAAATATTGCTGATGAATTGCATTAAAAACATTTATTTATTATTAAAATTACAATTTTGAGAGAATCTGGTTGCAATTTTATAATTACTTAATTTGACAGAGCAAATATTGGCAGCAAGCTCAAATTCATAGAAAGTTGCCATACAACTTAATTACTTTATTGCATAGCCTATATAAGTGAGTCTGGGAGCTAAGCGTTGGGCGATGGAATCTTTAAATATTTTGTCAATGGAAATATCATGGGCAGCGAGCAGTGCAGTCTCGAAATAAATGTGTAAAAAGCAACACCTCAACTTGAGAAAAAGCAATCGCCCCAGTATCAAGCCACTCGACCAGGCAACTAGACCAGTCGACCAGTCGACCAATCGGGTCGACCCATTGCCAGCTGGCTTTGGCCAGACCAGACCAGACCATTGAAACGGACAATTTTAAATCGAAAAATCAAAACCCAAAACAAATTCAATGTCCTGTTTGTCTGTGCTTGTGTTTGTGTATGTGGCTGTGGCTGTGGTTGTGGCAATGTTCGTGCTAGTGCTTGTTTTGGGCCACTCCGCTCCGGAGTAGGGCAGCAGTGCACCATGGGCAAGAACTGCAATATGCGGCTGAAAAACCGGAAGTGTTCTCGATTGAAGAACTTTAATATTTGTGAATAAGAAAGCGGTCCGACAGGACCAGAGACCGGAAGACGTTAAGTCTGATAATGCCTTTGAAATTTCCCCGTCGGAAGCTGATTATGAGCTGCCAGTGAAGCGAGGAAATTAAGTAGGACCATGATTCTCATAAGACAACCAACAGTTGCACTCAGCTGCACTGAGCTGCTAAAGGTACACGATAATTAATATTGTCAAATGCAAAAATTCAATGAAACTTAATTAAAAATCATGCAAAGCATATAGAAAGATAATCAGAAAATAGTTAGTTCCATTAGCTTAATGGGCAGCTCTATCCATGGTGGGATCATTTGGAGCTGTCACTAAAAGGAAATGACAACAACAACCAACAGCCAATTAATGACAGCGAACAACTACAATATCTGTCCACACGGCCAAAGGGCAGTCAATGAAAATCAACTAAGCAATTGCCAATCCCCCATTCCATACCAGTTAAAGCTTCTCACTCATAGCTCACACAGATACACAGAATGAGCTGGACAAAAACACTGGCCATGGCAACTGCAGCGTATGGCAAGTGTTTCTAATTAGTTGCTGGTGTCTTTCTGTGTGTGTCTGTGTGTGTGTGTGTGTGGGCAAGGGACAACTGCAATTGCAGAAACTAACAAAAACAGAGAGAATAACAACTGCCAAGAGAAGAGACGGGAAGACAAAATGGGCATGAGAGAAGTGAAAACGGAAAACTAAAAACTGAAATATTGTGCGACGCTTCAGCCAAAGGACTAACGAGCCAAACGTTCTAGCCAAGGCGGAGTGCACAGGTAGAGAAGCTTGTCGTGTGTTTGGCCAACATAAATGTAATGCCATTATTAGTTATCGATATACACAAACAGGCACACCTGCCTGCATACAGGTATAGGTATAGGTATATGTATATGTATGTCGTGTGTGCATGGGTGTATGGCCGTGTTTGGCTGTGTCGAAGACACCGTTAGTATCCGGCGCAGAAAAGATTTGCTAAGCATCCGTTAGAAAATTTGTTCTATTCGTCCTTGTTGTTGTTGCTATTGTAAAGATTGTTGGCAATACGATTGCAGCAAATCAGAAAATACTCGCACAAGTGCGAATGTGAATATTGATGCTGCACGCGCCCACCCACACTCTAACTCTCCTCTCTATCTCCCTCTCTCTCTTCCTCGAGTAGCTGCTTCCCGGTTGCCCACATGAAGAAAAAATCAGAAATGCTTCCTCGCGTGCGTCGCTGGCGATGGCCACTCGACTAGAGGCAGCCACTTCGCGTTACTTCGCCTACTTTCTGATTGCTCGCCAGCTTGAGCTTCAGCTTCAGCTTCATCTACAGCATCGGCGTCCTCATAAGCCCACTGACTGTGCACCTCCCTCCCTTTGGCGCTCGTTCGTTCGCTCGCTTACTTGCTACTTCCGCTTCCGAATCCGTTTTGTGTGCTGTCGCCGCAGAAATTTAACGAAGTCGCACGTTAGTCGCTGCCGTCGCCAACTTTGTCGCTGCTTGGAGAGCAGCAGCATCCCAACAGCTGCTGACTGGCTCTCATGCTAGCTTGCTCGCTCTCTCTTTTGTCGCTTTGTCACTCTCTTATGGCCAGCAGCACCAGCATCGTCGGCAACAGCATCGGGTCCGTTGTCGTCGTCGGCATCTGTGCGACTTGTTCAGCATCCTTTCAGGGTTTTAGATTTCAACTTGTGTTTCAGTTTCGGAGCGTTCGTCGTTGCAGTCGGTCGCACTAACGGAACAACCAAGCCGACCTATAGACAGCATCCAGTTGAACGCAGCGACAACGTGTCTCGAGTTTAGTGCCGTGATTTCGCGCCTTTGTTTAACTGACTTTTTGTGCAAGTTGCGTAAATTTCAGAGGCTTACGACTGACTGACTCATTTGCTTTCAATATATGTTTCGACTTGACTCTGGTTCAGTACGTGTGAATTGCAGTATCTGTGTGCCAGTGAGAGTGTGTGTGGTTGTGCATGTTTGCCGGCATCATTGTTGTTGCTGGCGCCCATTGTAGTGACAGTCGCTCCCGTCCTACCAGACGAGGCGGTCGTGGCATTCTGAATACTTGACATTTTCGCCGCCAAATTGTGCGATTTCTTCAGGCTGTGGCTGTGACATTGCCATGAACGTGGCGCACTTTGCCGCTGCCTGTGCTGTCTGTGGCACTCCTTTCCCCCCTTTCAAGTACACAAACTCCATCAGCCTCACCGTCTGCTCCATCGATTGACTGGCAAACAAATTTTGCAATTCAATTTCTATTGTGCATGGGCCAAGCGAGTGTGTGCGAGTGTGTGTGTGTGTGTTGGCGCGCGTCGTTTGCTGTCAATTCAAAGTATTTCACATAAAAATTGAAAATTGCATGCAAATTAAATAAATAGACAGACGCAACAACAACAACACAGTTGCAAAGGACAACAGCATGAACAGGAGAAGAAATAATTCTCAGCCAGTGAAAATGACAGTTTGAAGTTCTGGTCGCAATCAAAGCAAATGTCATTAGCACACGACACAGCGTCAACGTCGCTGTTTTCGATTGATAGCGCCACCAGTAGCAGCAGCAAAAGCAACAACTGCACCAACGACAACCCCAACAACAACAACAGCGAGCAACAGCAGTCAGTGAATTGGTGGCAACTGAGGGCATTTGCATAACTTGCAGCAAGTTCAACTTACGCAGGCACACACAGTCAGGTAAGGGCCAAAGTCGATTTCCGTTTGGGGGCGATCGCATGCTCCGCCTGCCCGCCCGCATGGCCTCTTTATCTTTGCTTTGACTTCCAAAGTCAGCTCCTGCTGGATATCTCAGCTATCATTTCTATTTTGCTATATTTTTTTTCTCTCCTTTTGCGCCGGTATCAACTTTAGTGCTGCTCCATCATGCCACGTTAGCCCAACTTTTAGTTATGGCTTTCGCTTTTCGCATAATGTCAGTTTTATTTGGTTTTGGTTTTCACTGGCGGCACTCGGTCGCAATTCTATTCCAGCATTGGGTGGCAACTCCAATGGCTTCGACATCGTGCCAGGCCCGGCCATTCGGCACCCTTGTAAGATTTATTGTGCCACACATAGCCACGTTGCTACATACTCACACACACCGACACACACGTAGCGACTTACAGTAAACACCTACTGAAGCTCGAACGCTGCCCAAGTAGCGAATAGAATCTCTCATCCAACACCAGCGCTGCGGCTGCCTTGTTCTTATTCATCTGCAGCAGCGGCAGCCCCATAATCTCTACTATTTGCATCGCAGACTTTGCTTTGGATTTGGGTATGGCAATGGATTTAGTTATGGTATTTCTTCTTCCGTTTCTGTTTTCTACATTTTCTGCCGTCTCGCACGCTGGCTGCGCTTTTTACCACTCGAAGATGCACGTTTGTTTCATCTTGTCGCTCGCACACTGAGCAAAAACTGTGCCACATTTACATTTTACACTCGGTTATGGCAGGGCTGAGCGATTACAGCATCTCCAAGGTTACCATTTCATGTTGATTACAACATAAGTTTACAATGTAGCAAATGAGGGGCCATTATAATGCGATGCAAAAACTGTCACATAAACCCTTTAGAGATTGAAGATGGAAGAAAAGAAGTTAAAGTTCGACTTATTAATGTCTAGAGCAAAAAATCTTTTTGCCTATTAAATTCTTTGCTTTTGTTTTGATTGAAGCCCCTCAAAAAGTTGGTTATATGGAGAGATCTTAGACTCAGGACTATCAAAAATGCTTCTGAGAAATGGTATTATATTTGGTGATTTTTATTATAATAACTGGTTAATGATAATAATATTTTAATTCATTATTTACAATCAAACGAACTGTGAAGCGTCAACCACAAGTATTACTTTGTACATTTGTTTATTTACAATAAAAATTAATTCATTTATAAATCACTGAATATAATTGTAATAAATTTAAAATGTGACAAATGACAATAAATATTTTAATTGAAATTTATTATTTTCACAAAACTTATGAATTGCATGAAATTAATCAGAAATTGTTTAATTAAATATAGAAAATACTTAAAAATATGAACAGTTTAATTCATTTATTAAAAATCTTGCTTTAATTTAATAATTCTTCATAAATCTGATTCATATTGCGTGATCTACTATTTTATAAGAGAGTCCTTTTTGCTCTAGAACAACAAAAATAATAATCATATTTAAAAAAGTTTTTTGATAATTACAAATTGTTAACAACATTAATAGTAATATTTACAGTTGTTTTCACAATTTTAAAAATGTGTTTGATAAAGTTATAATGTGCTCGCCTTATCATAGCCATCATCATCATCATCTTTTGCCTTAAAGTTTTTGTTTAGCCGCATGCAGTCGGGGCTCTTCAATGGTGTCTGGTGTGCCTGACCTGAAGAGGCGTGTCAATCCATAAAAGCTGGCCCTATCCATTTAGCTAGCCGCATTCCAAAAGTGCCATAACGAAAAAAAGTTTTTCGGCCGTACTCCTATTTCGGCACTGTGTAGCCAACGGGTTGGACAAGGCCGAACGTAGCACACCTTCGAGCTGAAGCCGCCCGCACACATGTGAGCGAGTGGTGGGCGCAAGGGGCGACAGATATGCGAATATGTGGACACGGACTGCTGAGAGGATTTCACATAAAACGGAAATGGCATTATCCTCGCACATATTGTTGTGCGGATTTTAGTTTTTATTACGGCTGGAACGCGGCTGATGCCCATAAGAAGCGGGTCTTGCTGCCCCCAAAAAGCTGAGCAGCAGCAGCATAAATACATTTGTGTCTGTTTGTGTGATACATCAAGGTGCGCAACGGCAGCGGGGCAGGCACACACCTACACATTGTGGCGCCATTGCTTACCTGGCGGTTGCAATTTATGTGCGTGCTCCTTAAAAATTCGCACACATCTTGCAAGTTGCTGGTGGATATGGGTTCGGAATGCGAGCTCGAGTCGAAGGCACTTCGCTAATAGTTTCGGGTGCTGCAGACGAGTCCGGCATTGTCTTTAGCGCCGTTTATTGGGTGCTGCGGGGAGCGGGTGGAGCATCATTCCGAGGTGGCATATCGCTAACTCTGGTGCGAGCCTTTGTTTGGCAAGACAAGATTTATGTTGCCGCTGGCCAAGAGCAACAACAGCAAGACAGCAAATGGTCATGGAAATGCTCCCATTCTCTCCCATCGCACTATGCGGTCCGACTTTTGGCAGCCTAAACAAACACTTGAGGTGTGTAAAGTTGGCCTTGTCCAGCCATCGACTTGGCTGCGTTTTTCAGTTTGTTTTGGTTTCACATTTTGTGCGCTTCAAATTGTGGTTAGATTTCGGTTTAGGTTTAGGTTTAGGTTTAGGTTTCAGATGGGGTTTGGGTTTTAGGTTTAGGTTAAGCAAAGCCCTGTCTGTACCTCAGTCGGTCTGTCTGTTTGTCTGCTTGTGCGTCTATGTTTTCTTGGCAAGGTTTGATCAGGTCCATTGTGCTTAATCACAGCACGCACATTTACATATTGGTTACCGAAAACTTGAGCAATCCTTTAAGACGCAACCAGGCAGACGCTGCTGAACAGCAAACCCTTTTTGTCCGTTCGCTGTTTTATCTGGCTGCCATTGTTGTGTGGTTTAAGCTTAGCGCAAGTTGGTGCCAGGGGCGGCGCGAGACTTACGCTTAAGTAAACACACACCAAGCCACACAGATCAACACACACACACACACATTCACACACACATACACACTTACGGCCTCTTCGACGGTCGCATCCCTGGGCAACCATTCACAGCCATTTGCGAGTTTTCTGTTTCGGCATTGTTTTCACTTTTTTCCCCAATCCGACTAGCTGATTGACTGACTGACTGGCTGACTGACTAACTGACTGAATGAGAGACGAATTGGAGCGGCCCCTTCTTCAGCTACTACATAAAACATACAGCAAAATCTGAAATTGATGATGGGCAGTGATTGTGAAAGTTGGCAGTCAGTTAAATTGAGTTCTGCTTAGGCGTCGCCCTTAGCCCCCGCCGTTGGCCGTAGACCCTTGGCGGCGCCCTTGCCGTTGGCGTTGCTTCCTTGGGGCGCGTTAATTGCTTTGTGAATGGTGTCCGGCTCGGCCGGAAAGTTAACATTTAACTTTACTCTATTTTGGACTTTAATCTATTTATAATTGAGGAATGCATAAAGCATGTTAAATAGGAACTTACACAAATTCCGCTTTGTTATGCGCCCTAATCGGGCTGAGGATTGAGTTTTGAGTTTAGGGCCACGTTTGGATGGATGTGGATGGGAAGATGGACTGAGTCTTCATTGTTTTAAATACGGATTTCTAAAGTTGTTGCTCTTGCTGTTGTTCTTGTTGTTGCTGTTGCCGTTGTAGCTGGCGGTTGACTGCTGCCGCTGAGGTAGAGGCGACTCACATAATTTGCATAACTAATTTGTGGAAACTTTGAGCATAGGAAGTTGTTGAAACTTCTGTTAAGGGCGACCTGCAGACCAGGAGCTGCAGCTGAAACTGGTTTTTGGAACTGCGGTATTTTCTTAACAGCTGCGCTCCACAAAAGTGCTTAATTCTTTCAAAATGAACGAGGACAGCCCCATTTGAAATCTGTCCTAATTGAATACATGAGAGCATAAGTTAGCAGTTTGGTACTTTGATATCAACTTTGATTACTTTATGGCTTTATGGCACTTGAGCGTACAATTTGGCTTAGTTAGCAGTTGAGCTCTTCAGCAGTGACCATTCCCATTCACAAGACGTATAGCCAGTCGCCAGCAGATGCTATTCACTCCACTGGGTATCCTCCACTGGTCCCTTTCGTGGCAATTTGTAATTGAGCTGATTCAGGGCTGCTTGCATGGTCATAAATGATAATGAAACAGATTAATTGCATAGTGGTTGGCTCACTAGCACCTTCAATAATATTACATTTCCAGCAACATACTAGATATTATTTTCTGTAAAGTCCATGCAGCTTGCAGTCAATCCTATTAGCCTAATAGTTTACACATCGTTCTCTATTTTTGATATTTGGGCAGCCCTAACGAGTAAGTCATGCCATCGCACTTAAATATCTATTGTTTCGCATAATTGCATTTAGTTAAAAATTGTTAATTGCTCAGCATTAGAAAAGTTTGCAACACGAAGTTGCGAATTTAATTTTGCTATTATGAATACATGAATAAATTAACGTTTGCTGGTTGTGTAAAAGTTTCTTTAAACTGTTTACAAAAGTGTTAAATTGTTTTTAATTTGCAGTAGTTTATGTGCAAGGATCCAAACTTTCATCAGTGTGCATGTCTATGACAACCAGATCAGATTGCTTAGCTAGTTCATAATAATTATTTAATCATTAATCCTTATAAATAAAATAAATAATCAATATAATTATTATAATATTATTATATGAACAAAGTATAGGATTGAGCAGTTTATGTGCCACGTTTCATACATCAATATGCAGCTCTATGACAATCTTGACTTATACAACCAGATTGCTTAGCTTGTTCATAATAATAGTAGTCCTAATCATAATGAATAATGCATAATTAATATAATTAGTTCAATTTCAATAAATAATAAATAATATAAATAAAAAATAATATTTAAATAATTGATTTTGTTTATGATTTTTTTAAAAATGTTTACAGTCGTTTCTAAATTGTTATGTATAATATATATGGGATTATAATAATATATATGGGATTATAATATACATAACAATTTAGAA